ATATTCTCTTCTATTCTATTTTTATTCTATTCCTATTCCTATTCCTATTCCTGTTCTATTCTATTCTATTCTATTTTATTCATATTCTATTCATATTCATACTCATATTCTATTCATATTCTCTTCTATTCTATTTTTATTCTATTCCTATTCCTATTCCTATTCCTGTTCTATTCTATTCTATTCATATTCTATTCTATTCATATTCTATTCTATTCATATTCTATTCTATTCTATTTTTATTCTATTCCTATTCCTATTCCTATTCCTATTCCTGTTCTATTCTATTCTATTCATATTCTATTCTATTCATATTCTATTCTATTCATATTCTATTCTATTCTATTTTTATTCTATTCCTATTCCTATTCCTATTCCTATTCCTGTTCTATTCTATTCTATTCTATTCATATTCTATTCTTATTCTATTCTAATACTCTGGTTTCTCTTCAGATCGTATAAATCTTTCACCCTTATTCTATTCTATTCTATTCATTATTCTATTCTAGTCATATTCATATTCGTATTCGTATCCGTATCCATATTCATTTTCGTATTCGTATTCATATTTGTATTCCTATTCCTATTCATATTCTATTCCGAACTGCACCTACCTGAAACGCGATCAATGCTATACATTCGTTCCAGCTTCTTCCGGCGCCAGCCAGTCTCACCAGCTTCGTTCTGATTATGGTTCTGGTGGTGCTGGTGATGCTGGTGGTGTTGGTGGTGATGGTGGTGATGGTGTTGGTGATGCTGATGCTCTAGATCAAACGGATGCTGAGATGACATTGTCAGCTGGGCACAATCGGGATACTCTTTCGAGCCTTGCTGGTGACTTGGCCAACTGCCCTTGCATTGTCGGCTGATGTTGTGAGAACTTCCGGCGTTGTGGAGAGGCTGACCCAAGGACCGTTCCCCGTCCACCTCTTCTTCGCCTTCCGTCCCTTTGAGGACTACAAGCTCCATGCTCTCGCTCTGGTGCTGCGAGAGCATGGGCCTCTCGCTGGAAATGGTGTAGACTCGAGGCTTGGGGCCCTCGCCGGCCAGCTTCTCACCTGCTTCCTCGGGGAAGGTGGCCTGAAACTTCCCGTCAGAAATGAGAGACAGCCGACGCTTGTTCTGAACACCCACATGGATTTCTGGAGAGTCTTCTTGACCAACATAGGACTCTGCCAACAAGTGATCTGAAAGCAGGATGAGAAACACAAGATTTGAGGGACTTCCTCCCTATCTGGGTGAGGACCATCCTTGATTGACCCAACCCAACCTGGGTGTTGACGACATATGGCTGTGCCAACACGTGATCTGAAAGCAGGATGAAAAACACAAAGTTTGAGGGACTTCCTCCCTATCTGGGTGAGGACCATCCTTGGTTGACCCAACCCAACCTGGGTTGAGTCTTCTTGATGACATATGATTCTGCAAGTGATCTGAAAGAAGGATGAGAAACACAAGATTTGAAGGACCTCCTTCCTATCTGGGGAGGACCAAGCTTGGTTGACCCAACCCAACCTACTGGCCCAAATGAGTGCTGAGGAACTTTAGCAGTTGTGGTCAATATCATTGGGATGACTACAAGTTCTCCAGCGTCTTGAAGGGAAGCAGATCCAGGGGTGCCTGGAGAGAACAGAGAACCTGTTCGAATAAGGTCTTCTGCCTTGGGACAGGGGTTGGACTAGAAGACCTCCAAGGTCTCTTCCAAGGTCCCTATGTTTTTAGGAGTCATTTTCTGCCCTGCAAAAAACCTGAATTCTACTGTCTGGTTACAGATCTTTGCGCTGAAAGATAAAATTCCAGGTCAAGATCACTCAAATCATGTCTCTCTTTTTTTAATCTCAATTGTACGATTCTAGGTAATTTGTGCATCTCACTCAAGTTGCTAAATTCAAAGAAATAGAGGCAATACTTAAATATTGACCCAAAAGGAAGATGACCTTGAATTTAAATTGACCTCGTCTGCTTGCCCTAAATCAAATTATAGCAACAGCAATAGCAGACTTATATACCGCTTCATAGGGCTTTCAGCCCTCTCTAAGCGGTTTACAGAGTCAGAATATCGCCCCCACAATCTGGGTCCTCATTTTCCCCACCTCAGGATGGAAAGCTGAGTCAACCCTGAGCCGGTGAGATTTGAACCGCTGAACTGCTGAACTAGCAGTCAGCTGAAGTGGCCTGCAGTACTNTGGATGGAGTCACCGAAGCAGCCGGCGTGAGCTTAAATGGACCCCAGAGGATGGTAGAGGACAGGAAGGCCTGGAGGAACGTGGTCCATGGGGTCGTGATGGGTTGGACATGACTTCACAACTAACAACAACATTTGAACACTTGCTAAAGGAATGGTTTCAAATTGGAGACTGCCACACACACTCACATACACATCTAAACACACCTAAACACCTCCCCCTCTCACATCACTTCTGAGAATTCAACAAGCGCCACCCACATTGTTTGCACATTCCGAGCAATGAGGACTAGACGCTTGGCTCCGCTGAAAGCCTGTTTCTTAGAGCATCAGATACCGAATTCTGTGCTTGAGAAACCAAAGCTCTCAATTCAGATTGAAAAAGTAGGAATCAGCCTCAAATCACAGTTAAACACAGAAAGACCGTCCTTAAATCCTGAAGATTGCAAGTTAATTCTGTAAGGGATTCAACTCAGCCTCCAGGACAGAAAACATCTCTCTGCAAAATTAGTTACCCAAGTTCTCCACATGGTCACACAAAAGGAAATCCAAGGCCAATTGCACACTCGTTGTGTGTGCAAGCTCCCGGAAAGAACACCAATATGGATAACTTTCCATTTTCCAGTGCCTGGCGCTATTCCTTTGCTCCAATAAAGGTAAACGTTCCCCTCGCACATATGTGCTAGTCATTCCCGACTCTAGGGGACGGTGCTCATCTCCGTTTCAAAACCGAAGAGCCAGCGCTGTCCGAAGACGTCTCCGTGGTCATGTGGCCGGCATGACTCAACGCCGAAGGCGCACGGAACGCTTTTCCCTTCCCACCAAAGGTGGTTCCTATTTTTCTATTTGCATTTTTTACATGCTTTCGAACTGCTAGGTTGGCAGAAGCTGGGACAAGTCACGGGAGCTCCCTCCATTAAGCGGAAATAGGGATTCGAACTGCCGACCTTTCTGATCGACAAGCTCAATGTCTTAGCCCCTGAGCCACTGCATCTCCCTGCTCCAACTAAACATTTTCATGGACGTTCTATCCATCTGGCCTGGTTTGGGGTCACCACTAAAGAGGATCCCCCTTTTTCCTCTGGACAAGTGGACGATCCGAGGATTGGGGGGGGTGCACGCAGTTTGCAGGTGACACCCCTTAAAGCCAGGAGTCCAGAAGGTGACACAGACTTCTTCAGAGGAGGACTGCATCGCACCAGGCAGATTAAGGCCAACTGGAATGCCATGCTTGGAGAGAGATGCCAGAACTGCGCAGACAAGGCTGCCTGCGGCTCCGTGCTGCATTCACCAAGTTGGAAGTTCACACCAGGAGTAACCAAGGGGCTCCCTGGAGCTTCGCCAGAAATGTTCCAACGGGGCCGGGCAGCTTGCCAAGTGCTTCGCGTCTCACGTCAGCTGCTATTTCGACCCAATGCGAAGCGACAGCCGGGCTGAAAATAGAGAGCAGCGGCTGGGAAAGTTTGGGATTTGTTTGGTTTTTTTTAAGTCTCTCTCTCTCTCTCTCTCTCTCTCTCTCTTTCTGATGTCTTGATATCATGCTCACGTGCCCTGGTAATCAAACTCCTTCCTTCCTTTCCCTTCCTTCTTTCCTTCCCTCCTCTTCTCTTCCTCCTCTCCCTTACTCTCCCTCCACCCTCCCCCTTCTGCTCCCTTCCTCTTTCTTCCTTTCCTTTCCTTTCCTTTCCTCCAACTTCTCTTCCCTTTCTTTTCATCCCTTCCCCTCCTTTCCTTCTCCCTCCCTCCCCCTCCCTCCCCCTTCCCTTTTTTTTCTCTTTCTTCCTTTCCTTCCACTACTTTCCACTTTCCTTTCCTTCTCTCCTCCCCTCCCTCCCCCTTCCCTCCCCCTTCTGTTCCCTTCCTCTTTCTTCCTTTCCTTCCCTTCCTCTTTCTTCCTTTCCTTTCCTTCCTCTTTCTTCCTTTCCTTTCCTTCCCCTCCTTTCCACGTTCCTTTCCTTCTCTCTCTCCCCCCTCCCCCCTCTCTCCCTTCACCTTCCCTTCCTCTTTCTTCCTTTCCTTTCCTTCTCTCTCTCCCCCCTCTCTCTCCCTCCACCTTCTCTTTCTTCTTTCTTCCCTTCCTTTCCTTCTCTCTCTCTCTCCTATCCCATCTCTCTCCCTCCCTCTTGCCTTCCTCTTTCTTCCTTTCCTTCTCTCTCTCCCACTCTCTCTCCCTCCCCTTCCCTTCCTCTTTCTTCCTTTCCTTTCCTTCTCTCTCTCTCTCTCCTACCCTATCTCTCCTCCTTCCCTTCCTCTTTCTTCCTTTCCTTTCCTTTCCTTCTCTCTCTCTCTCTCTCCTACCCCCTCTCGCCCCCCTCCTCCAATCGCGGCTGGAATCTGAATCAATGGCACAGAGTTTTAGCAACCTTGGGAAGACACCCAAAAAGACTCCAGGACCAACGGCTATTCAGCCAAAGCCGGCAAACCTCAGAAGAAACTCCCAACACAAGGGCTTCAGCCTTCCCAAAACTGAGCCCTAGGCGCAGCGCGGTCTGGGTTTGGTGAAAAGGAGCAGCGGGGCCCCCCCTCTGGTATAGATCTGGGGTGCCAAAAGAACCTCCAGGGTGAGGGTGTGTGAGCCCTATAATCGGGTTGGCGTCGCCGGCACAAATCTGCATCCAGCGCTTTGAGGGTTTTAACCGGAGATGCTGAGATGTCGGTTTTTCGGCTTCCTGCAACCCCACCAGGGCGAACCGCCTCCCCTCCCCTCCCTCCCCAGCTGCGGATTGCCAGCTCGACCCGAGCTCAAAAGCACAAGCGCCGCACGTCGCTCCTCCGCCCGTCCCTGCCTCCTACACCCGTAGCAACCTGGCGAACGCCTCGCCCGCCGCCCGCCCGCCGTTGCGATTTCTCTTCCCCGGGCTTCTTTGAAAAGCCGGCTATCCCTTCCCCCCATTCCCCCATTCCCCCGAAGCCCCAGTCCTCCAGCCCCGATTGCCGGCTCCGGCTGTGGCATGTGCGGCTCATTCGCCCTTCCCGCAGCTGCAGCTCCCGCCGGCTTTTTTTTTTTTTACGCGCAGCCTTTTTACGCGCGGCTTTTCTGCGCCCCCCCCCCCACAGACCCTGCCCGCCTCCGCGCCGCCTTCCTTCGGGGGGCACACCCCCACACCTTCCCCGCACCCTGATCCCCCATCCTTGCGAGGCAGAGCCNTTTGGTGGGAAGGGAACAGCGTTCCATGCGCCTTTGGCGTTGAGTCATGCCGGCCACATGGCCACGGAGACATCTTCGGACAGCGCTGGCTCTTCGGCATTGAAAGGGAGATGAACACCGCCCCCTAGAGTCGGGAACGACTGGCACGTATTTGCGAGGGGAACCTTTACCGTTAAGTGAATCTCCAGGTGCAGCGAAAGCACCTGTAAAATCAAGGCAGTACGAAATCTTGAGAAAGGTATCCTACCTGCCCCATTCTTGCCTTCGGGATGGTTTTGAGAGAGATAATCCCCAAAAGCCCTCGCCGCTCTTCATCGGAATCCGGTGGAGGGGAAATGCCAAGAGCAAAAAAACCAAAAGAGAAGGAGAGAAGAAGAAGAACAAATTAATAATCCCGGCCGCAAAATTCAAGGCACGGCTACCTTGCCAATCCCATTGCATTCCTCCCCGCCTTCGTCTTCCCCAAATGGAAATTTTAATAAGAGACATTGCAAAGAGATGCACGGTGGCCGCATAAAATAAAAATTGCCTGCATTTTTCATTCCGCCCCACACCTTCATACATTCTCTTTCTCCCCTCTGTCTCTCTGGGTGTGCATACTCAGCTGGCTCAATGTTGCTAATGCTGCTGTTGGCCTTACACCAGCAAAAAAAAATTGACAAGTGATATATTCTGCTGAGAAATGAAAGATGCTTTCCTTTGGCGAAGGGAGGAAGGGAGAGAGAAATTATTCAAATTGGGAAAACCAGGAAGAACAACTTCAGGGCCGCCTGTTCCCACGTTCTGGGGTATCTTTTGATTAACTTCGTGCCATCAAATGAGGCTCAGCTTTTAGAGACCACATAAATGGACCTTGTGTAGGATGGATTTGTAGGTAAGAACGAAATAGGATCGGATAGACTCTGCTTTTGATCCTTAACCAAGGGAGGGGAGGGGAGGAAGAAAGGAGAAAGAAAAAGGGGAAAGGGAAGGGAAGCAGAGAGGAAGGGAGAGGGGGAAGGGAAGAGAAGAGGAGGGAAAGGAAGGAAGGAAGGAGTTTGATTACTAGGGACTTTGATTAATACGAACTCCTGGATTCAGATTCTAGCAGTGATTGGAGAGAGAGGGGGGAGGGAGGGAAGGAGGAAGGGAGAGAGAGAGAGAGAGAAAAGGAAAGGTGAAAGGAAAGGAGGGGACTGGAGGGGAGGGAAAGGAAAGGATGAAAGAGGAAGGGAAGGGGATCAGAAGAAGGGGGAAGAGGAGAGGACGGAGGGAGGGAGGGAGGGAGGGAGGGAAGGAAGGAAGGAAGGAAGGAAGGAAGGGCAATAGCAGTAGCCCTTAGACTTATACATTGCTTCACAGTGCTTTTACAGCCCTCTCTAAGCAGTTGACAGAGTCAGCCTCTTGCCCCCCAACAATCTGGGTCCTCATTTTACCCACCTTGGAAGGATGGAAGGCTGAGTGGACTTTGAGCCGGTCAGGTTTGAACTCTTGGCAGTCGGCAGAGCTAGGCTGCAATGCTGCATTCTAACCACTGCATCACCAAGGAAGGAAAGAAGGAAGGAAGGAAGGAAGGAAGGAAGGAAGGAAGGAAGGAAGGAAGGAAGGAAGG